GAAGTAGAGAGGTGACATAGACCGGATGGTGAGATTTACAAAAACGCATTGCATGAACATTGAAATTCTTTTGTTAAAACCATTCTGTACATGAAATGGGAAATGCGAAGAGAGAGTTTCGGAGGACGACCAGAAGGACCAATAATACAAGAATTACTAACGATTTTTCCGTCAAAGTAGCATTCTGTGAGTGAGCCTACGTCCTACGTAGTTCAGAAAGAAAAAAAATTACGAGAGTTGCGTTTTTCAAAGCAGTGTAACCCGGCCAACTCACTCACGTAAGAATAGGACCCCGACCCCCTCCTCCCAGAGATACAATTTAAAAAAAACAAAGAAAAAATAGGGAAGAAATAAAGAAGAAATTAAGGAGAAATTAAGAAGAAATAAAGAGGAAATAAAGAAAAAATAAAGAAGAAACTCGATCAAGATTATGAGAATACCCCATGGCCGATTTTTGTTTTGTTTTGTTTTTGGGGGTTTTAACTCATCAGAATGGCCACGGCTTATATTTTGAAATCTAGTGATAAAATTCGAACACCTTCATTATGCTTTGAAAACAGAAGTGCAACCTTTACAGACTGAAAACGGCAGATTGATAGTCATAAATTGGTTAATTTCAAAACGTAAACGACGCAATAGCCAATACTTCCCAAAGCAGAATTAGGAGAGGAGGGCACCATCGAGGAATTCAACGAGACGGAAATAAAAGAAATACATAATATTATCATTATCATCAACAATGGAATGGGAAAGGAAAATATAGGTAAACTTTTCACTGAGTTGTAAACACAGCAGACCTCAGAGAAAGGAATGACAAGAATTCTATTGGAAAACTGGAAGGAACCAGCAAAAAACTTGGCACGTCGAGTTCTGTCAACGAAAACGTGAGCACTTCTGTATAAGGGTAGCTTCAACAGCACGGTTATTTATCGGGGACAAAACACACCAAAAAAAAAACGAAAAACAAAACAACAAACAAATCAACAACAACAGCAACGACAACAACAACAACACACCATAACATTTCTCGTCAAAACCGATGAGTACTGAAGGGCAATGCATTGCAACACGTCAAATAATATTTCCATGACTAAACTACACATCATGTGCGAAATATCTGCACCAATAGACTAGAATTTCCGCAAAAGGCGTCTATGGTCGAGCGGGGGGCAAAGAAAAACAATAAGATTATGCTGGCTGACTAGAGAGAGTTGAGGTATAGGTTATGACTTGAAATTTCTTGGAAAGAAAACATTAATCCGTACTGAGTTAGATTAATTTCTTTTCCTTTAGCGCTTTGCATCATTATCAATTAAGCTAACCGTCAATGTTTGCATAATGTAGCGATCATTATGCCTCACTGTCTGTCATGGTTCTCCGGAATGGTGACAACACAAACTATCTGTCTCGTCTCTCAATGAACACAAGTTTCCTTCTCATCTTTTGTGCTTATAAATATCATTCCTGTTCAACTTCAAAACATACATGGGTCGTGACCACCATTACGTATTATACAACTTTCAAATGGCATCGACACCACCTAAGTAAACATATTCAACACACACACACGTGCACACACACACACACACACACACACACACACACACACACACACACACACACATACACACACACACACTTACTTACTTACTTACACAATGTAGCTCGCTGTACAACGTATCACCAAACCTTTGACGATTAAACGAAGTTATATCTTTATGAGTAGAATAACTACAGTAATGTATTATGCTCTCAAGACGAACCTGCCTTTTGAGAAAAACGAAAAAATAAAATATAAAGCAATAGCCGAATGGACTGTGCATACAGGAGTGTTTTGAACGCAGTTATGCGCACATGCGCTCTCTTAGAGGTCAGAAATTCTTTTTATACGTGTGAGTACGTACCACACAACCCATATATCATTATCATTACTATATATAATATGCACGGAGGTAAAAAAAAAAATCTGGACCCTTCGCCATTTTAACAGAAAAACTAACTTGAGCAGCTCTTTTCTGTGCACCTAGACGTAATTATTACTCATGGGTGGTGCGTATTACAAGCACAGAGAACCACGCAGGAATCCAGATTTTTCCCACCATCGTGTAAAATAATAATATAGGCGTGCAGCAGGAAAGAAATAGGTATGGAGTAGCATAAGAATGAACTAAGAAACGATTTACAAACGCAACATGCAAAGTTGGACAAAGGCCAGATTCAGATGTAGATTTTGAACACGCATAGTATCAGAAAAAAACCCACATGGAATGAGGGACATTACACAGTCTTGCCTTGCTTGTCGTTAGAAAAATGCCTCCATCAATAATGCTTAACAACAGGAACAAGTACATGTATAATAGAAAATGGAAATGGAAACGCATATAACTGGATACTGGACAGTGGGAAATATTATTACAAAACTTGAAAAACCCATAGAACCCAGTGCGAGTAGGTCTGTGTTTTAAAAAAAAATCAAATGCACAGAGGAATTTGTATATCATAAGTTAAAGCTTTACTATGCCTCCTATTGCACAGAGTTTCATATATACACGTACTAGACAGTTCATTATCATCATTGTTCTCATTATTACTCTTAATATCGTTGACATCACAACATGAAGATAATAATAATAATAATAATAATAATAATAATAATAATAATAATAATAATAATAATAATAATAATAATAATAATAATAATAATAATAATAATAGAGTCACTATTCGTCGACATGCAGTATCCTGCAAGCGGCGAGATGAGAGAAAAGTTTACATAGATAATGGTTTATTAAGAAGGAATTCATTGACGAGCAGTTATGAGCCCTCGGTATTTAAACGCGTTTCAGCAGCGTTTCCTAAGAGAAATGTGTATCTGTTAGATACTTGCTACAAATCTTGCCTCAAAAGTAAGGAACCCGGAACTTCCATTATGACTAGATTTGAAGACCAGGGCAAAAAATCAACAAAAGATTATATTATTGGACAAAGGTTTTAGAAACACATTTTTAGACGCAGTATTTCCAGGCAAAAATGCTACGCATCTCATTCACAACAGTGTCCCTCCATTTCAGGATAACATGACAAGGAATGCACAAGAAGAATAAAATAAAACACACAAAAAATACGGGACATTCTCTTGAGGTTCACATTGATCCCTTTGTACAGTCAAGCAAATAATTAGCTGCTGCTTCGCCTTGTAATCAGATAAAGAATTTGAAAAGGGGTGCAAAATTTGCTATTATGTACATGGAGTGCTTTTGAAAAGAACGCTCTAGAGGGTTATATACATTTGATTACCAGCCCTTGCCTTTTTGATATCGAAGCCATGGAAATTGTTTTGATAAGGGACGTGCTCTATGGGGGAAGCGTCATGGAAGTTATCGTTCATCATTCATCATCTCTCTTACAGACAGTATTTCGCTCGGCCAAGAATACGAAGAGGGGCATCATGTTCACACTCACACACACACACACACACACACACACACACACACACACACACACACACACACACACACACACACACACACACACACACACACACACACACACACACATATATATATATATATATATATATATATATATATATATATATATATATATATATTATACTGATGACGTCTTGGCAGCATAATATTATAACACAATTTACTGATGATGTCAAAGTGGCATAATAAGAAGCTTGAGTCACACAACACGACTGTCTCTCTTGGAAATCACCAACTCAACAATCACACCCAGACAAGTTCTAAAGAAACGGCTGACCGGTTGTACGAGTAGTACACACTATTATGACAATGTTATCTCAAAAGGCTCGTCATCGGCTCATTATAAAAGCTCTATTCACCACAGATTGCTGAAATTAAAAAGCATAAAATGGAAACGGAATGGATAACGGAATGAATGAAATCTTCAGCGAGTCAGTCAAAGAGAAGACTCTCTGCTGATATTGCACAGTAAAAGGCTTTCTCTCACAGCGGCCCCGTCGTGTCATAATAAAAATACCGTCAGCACAGAGTAGGGTTGTGTCTCTAAGTTGTATAATATTATAATATCATTGCTCAATCTACAGAGTGCAATTCTGTAAGCATTTGTAAAGGGCCGTGAATATGATCCGACGTTATCGAAGTTTGAAAGTTTCAACTTGCATGACATGGCGTCATTCAACATTGGAATGCTATTGAGGATCAGAAGCTGTAAAAGGTTTTCAATGTCGGACGGCGCCACGGTCGGCTTCGTAAAGCCGTATCATATACAGGCCCTTGACGCTCTAGTATAGGTATATTATAGCTCAGTGCCCGTCTTTGGAATGACTTTGTGGAAAAAATATTATAATTAGTAGTAGTAGAAGTAGTATTAGAACAAGGGTTTGAAAGCTGTTGCCAGTAAATAGGCCATCGCGACACACAGTACAAGACTCCGATCATTGCAGTTCCAGGTCAATTGAGAATGTACTATGCATCACTTTTAAAACGGTATTATTATGCGAGTGAATTGCATTTTACCGCTTGTAAGCAGCATCCCTGACGTTGAGAGGTCCCGTATATATATAAAGTCTAAGCTGGAACAATCTTATTATGCCTGTACTTCGTGCTTACAGAACAAAGGGAAGAAATGAAAATAGTATGTTATATTACAAACGTGATACATCATTTCCATCAGCAAGATGGACTGTAGCTCGCTAGAGAATAAAGCTATTGCCGAATATAACGGACTGGACCTCACACCTCTCCACCCGGAACAACCCATCCAAAGAGTCTCCAAGATGAAAGAGTTTCACAGAGAGGTACAGGAAGAAACAGCACGTCAGAGTTGCTCAGCGAAGGTTTGACTTTGTTCCTATTGCCACTGCTCTGCTTTTTGCTTCATCGGACTGCTCAACTCAGCTCTTGCTGCAGCTACTGCAATTACCGCTGCTGCTGCTGCTGCTGTTGCTGCTACTGCACCACAGAGTCAGTATTTATTTCATTTCCCATTCATTGTCTTTGGTTTGTTCATTTTCCCTCACTGATCACTAATCTGCTCCATCCAGTTTGGTGACTTGAAAAACTCTGGCAGGGTGGCGTCCATACGGGCAATGTTCTTGTAGATGGCTTTCTTCCAAGACGGTTCAGCGTCTTTATTCGCTTGTATGGACTTGAAGAATTCCTTTAGGGCTGCTTGTGCTGCCTGGATAAAGTTCTGGGGGACCTGCAGAAGAGAAAAAGAAACATAACCGTGAATGATGATTGACAGAAAAAAGTGATGACGGCAGTCTAGTGAACATCTTATCACTTTTTTTCTAAAACCCCCTCATCAACGTCGCCTTCACCTCCAACAACAACATACACAGATTGTGGGAGAGAGAAAAAGGGGGAAGGGAGAGAGACACAGAGAAAGAGATAGAGAGAAGGACACAGAGACACAGAGAGAGAGAGACAGAAACAGAAAGATAGAGAGGCATAGAGAGGCATAGAGAGGCATAGAGAGGCATAGAGAGGCATAGAGAGGCTGAGGCAGACAGGATCTAACAAACAGGTAAACAGATTAACTGACATAGAAGGACAGAGAGAGAGAGAGAGAGAGAGAGAGAGAGAGAGAGAGAGAGGGGGGGAGAAGAGAAGACGATTGCAGGAAAGGAGAGTGAATGAAATCGGGTAGGCGGGGAGACACCGGTGACTGGAAACCACATACCGCTAAAGTGGGTGTGGATATTTCTTGAAAAACGATGTCGTCAACTTCCATCTAAACCCACATGAAAGACGAGTCATCAGCAGTAGCAAATCAAGCTACCATTCTGACCTTGAGAAGCTTAGCAGACGTTGGAGATGGACCCAGCCCACTGGTATTGATGAGTCCATGTCACAATCTGACGGCTCTAATCCGCGTCCTCGGAGTAAAGGCAGGAGTTTGGGCTGTGTAAGTGGGCGGTGGGTGGAGAGTGGTGGGCGGACGGTAAGCGGGAGGGAGGAGGGTGAAGCCAGGAGGAGGGTGGAAGGCTCAAAGGGGGAGGGGAGCATTAGAGGTAACTAACTGTTTGATTAACCTTTTTACCGGTGGATATAGATACATCTTCTTTGTGTCATCTTCAATAAAAATATCATTGGTGCCCTTTTCCTCTGAGGTAATAGCATAAATGTACATGTACATTCCTGGGTATTTTCACTGGTTACCAAGAAATATGATCGCTCGTTGAATAAAAACAGACAAATTACTTTAGAGTGTATTTATTTTGTAAAGCTGGAGTTGTTTCTTCTAAGTTCTCTTTTAAATTCTAAATTAGCTGTATCTGCTGACATCATTGCGTATAATTTTTTATATTCACAGTGTAAGCAGCTTACTCCAAATGTGATTAGTCAAAATTGTTCCGTTATTTTGGGAAGTACGTTGATTGGCAAATCGTAATTACCGTTTAATCCCTATGTTTATTCTTGTATTCTATTTGCGTAACTACATGTGCCTCCACCGTCCAAAATCATCGTTAATCTGGCAGCAACCTTCCAGTTTTTACCAACATCTCGTAATGGCTACAGCGTCTCTTTGCCTCCCTCGACCGACCATCAGGCGCAATAACGCAAAAATATCTTTGAGCGCAGAACGTAGCGAGAGTGGCTGGAAACCTTTTCCCTTAAGGCATCGTAATCAAATTCTTCAAGACATACAAAGCGAAGCAGCCACCAGTTTCCCCCCTAGCATTAGAATGGATCGATGGACTTCCCGAACTAAGAGCCAGAGGGGCTAACTAGAGCGATGAGCTCACCCACACAATCTATTGATCTGTGGAAACACGCTCAGAGAGCAAGAGAAGGAAACCCAAAAGGCAGTAGCGCAGAACCCAGAAATGTGAAGGATTTCATGGTAAAAATTCCCTTACTCAGTGCACCTCTGCAGATATCTTTATTGATCTTTTTCTTCGTCTCGTCTACTGTTTCTGCCCGCCCCCTCAATTAAATTAAGAACTCTGAGTCTTCTTCTGTCTCCCCTTGAAAGCGTTCGCTGCTTCAACTCCAGAAATGTGGGGAGGAAGTGTTAATTCTCTCGCGAAGAAAATTCCCCACTCCCTGAAGAGTCGGAGAACTGGAGATAACTTCATCGATCCGCTCTCTAGACTCAATGCTATCTCTTCCTGCCTCGCCAGCATTATAGATTCTCAGCGCTCACTCGCCGCCTGAAAATGACCAGCCAGACTTGAGACATGGGAAGATTCCCGCTAAGAAAATACTCTTCGCACGACAACCGTGGCAGAAGATGTCTTCATCGACCTATTCTCGACGCCCTCAGCTATCTCTCCCCGCCCCCAAGACTATCAGAATTTCGTAGCGTGGCCTCTTCCTTCTGTGAGAGCGGCGAACCCTCGGTATGGGGGAACATTCTGAGTTCTTTATCGATTTTGGCAAAGATTCCTGCGAGCTCAAGACGTGCTCATAGATTGGGAAGTGTGAGGAGGGAGAAGAGCACGTCTTTGTGGAGGCGTTGCTCAGCATTGTGGCGATCATGACACTACTGGTTCTTTCTTTTCTCTTCTCACACAGGCGTTCGTCATTGGTCGAAGATGCATGAAGAACATCTTCGTCACCTCATAACGGATTAGTTGTCCTTCGATAACGTTTGAATCATGATTGATGAATTTTGTACCGATTGGTGTCTTTAAGGGAGATGCAAAGAGAAGAAAAAAAAACTTGCAGAAAATTGATATGATCATCAGAGATTGATGCAAAGGATCAGAATTTGAGATCCAGATGAAGAAAAAAGGGAACAGGAGGTGGGGGGGGGAGTTGAGCCAAAGAACGTTTGTGTGCTTGAGGGTATGTTTGTGAATAAGCATGTAAACGTGTGTGTGTGTTCACGAGTGGGAGAGAGAGAGAGAGAGAGAGAGAGAGAGAGAGAGAGAGAGAGAGAGAGAG